GCATGAGTTTAAGCCACCGGGTCCGGGACTTGAACCGCAGTTGACTACGTGGGAGTCTAGCGACATAGCCATTACGCTAACTGCTGACCCCTGTTTTCATGCATCTTGATAAATCTTTTTCATTTGTATTTTTTCAACATGGTGCTGTTTATGATAGAGCTTAGCCTTCAGACCAATCATCTTTTTTGCCTGTTTTGACCATTCGTGAACCTCTCGACTTTCCTGCTTTCTCTTTTTCTCATGGTAATACAAACAGTATCCTTAGTGTTTACAATATAATGTAATATATTTGTTTTGCAGCATGGTGATGGCTGCAGAGTTGTTGGGAGCAGACTCCCAGATGCAAAGAAGTTGTCCACTTTCAAGTCTCAGAGACTGAGCAGACCTGACACAGTCTGGAATGGGAAAAACTACAGCCTTCATACTAACAATTCCATTTGATTCTTTTCTTTTGATTCTTTTCTGTGATGTGTATTTCCTTTTTCCTTTTTTTTTTTTTAGTTTAAAAAAAATTATTTTACATTCATTCATCGAGCATTATCACAGCATACAAAATGTGATTTCCCATCTAGAATACGCTGCATAGTGGCTTAATCATGCATGTTATCATCAGAATAATTTTCCATTTCTTGTTACACACACACACACACACACACACACACACACAGATATTTATATATTTTCCTCTCTATTTCTCACCCTCTGCCATTTCCCACCCTCCTCACACACTGTATCTGATGTCTATAGTTGTTTTCCATTCCTTCCCCCTCACACATTTTAATGATTCACAAAATATCTTAATTAATCTAACTACTTTCAGTAACAAGTTCAGCTAGTACATAAATATCTGTGAGCACATGTCTGACTTTAGGCATGAAGCTCTGAGTAGAATGAATATACTAATAGCTGATGCTATTTAGCTTACTGAGGTCATTAAATAGGTATTTTTTAATTTCAAGAAAAGCAGTTTTAGCTTTAATAAATCAAAATAAAAAATGTTAAGAAAGCTTTGCTTAAAACTTAAAGTCAGGAAACAGGTTAGGATTCTGTTCAAATAGTAGGTACATGAACCTATTGGCAGCTCAAGACAAGACAAAAATCCTTAAATCTGGAAAACAAAACATAGAAGAATATCAGTAATGTTTTAGTCAAAAGTTGTAAGATTCTATTTTACCATTTCAGTCTCATATACTTAATCTGTCTTCTGCTGGAGTCCTATTGATCTGTTTAAATTCTGGAACATAACGTTCAACTCCAGACTTGTCCCTACTGTTAAGTTGGCCATTTTCTTAGTTGTTATTGAACTTTCATTTCTGTTTGTCTGTATCTAGTTTTCCTGATTTAGTACTCTCTTCAAAACTACTTGGAGAGCTGATCTGATGTTGGTAAATGCTTTCAGGTCTTGTTTATCTGAGAATGTTCTTGTCTTTTCTTCCCATATGAAGATAATCTTGTTTGAAATTGTTTTCCCCTTAACACTTTGAATATATTTTCCCATTCTTTCCTTGCTCACATTGTTTCTGATGAGAAGTCTGCTGTTAGCTTGATGGGATATTGTTTGTAAGTAACTTGACATTTCTCTCTGGCCAATCTTGTCTTTGTCTTGTCGTTTTGGTCAGTCTGGCTATTATGTATCTTGGAGAAAATCTTGGGTTGATTCCATTTGCGGTCTTTTGTATTTCTTGGGACTAGATCTTTGAATGCCTCTCTAGATTTGGAAAGTTTTCTTCCAGGATTTCATGAAATAGATTATCAAGGTCCTTATTAGTCTCTTCACCTTCTGGGATACCAATTAGGACATTTAATGGTATCTAGTATTTTTTGTATTATACTCACTGTTTTGGGTTATTTTCTCAGTCTTCATGGTGGATTTTTCTAGGCCAGTAATTCTGTCTTCTACAGCTGAGATTTTATCCTCTGTATGATCTAGTCTACTTTTAATACTTTCAAGGGAGGTTTTGATTTCCTGCATTACAGCCTTCATTTCTAACAGTTCCATTTGATTCTTCTTTTTTATGGTGTGTATTTCCTCTTTTAGATCGTGCAAGAACTTCTTCACCTCATGAAAATCATGGACTCTTTTCTCCTGTGTCTCCTAGAGTTCATTTTCTTTCTTCTCTTGAATCTCTGTTAGCTTTGTCACTTTGAATATTCCAAATTCTTTATCAGACATTTCTATGAGTTCTATTGTACTGTCCGTGGATGAAGAGGAGTTATTCTTTTCCCTTGGAGGAGAGGTATTTTCTTGCTTTCTTATATTTCTTATGCCCCTGTGGTGATTTCTGGCCATCTGATGGGCTGTGTGTTTCTTCCTAATTCTTGAAGTTCAATCTGAGTATTTATAGGTGTGCTGGAGGAGGCGATCTGCAATTTCTCTTCTGTTCTGTATTTTTTTGTGCTTCAGTTTCAGTGGGAATTGAGGAATATTCTGACCCTAATCAGTAATCAGATGTTTGGATACTGTTCACTTAGACCTGTCTAGATACTCAGTGTGTTGAGGCTGAGCAGCTAAGGGATGAAGTTAAAGGAAAACAAGAGAGAAGAAGAGGAAAGAAGAAAAAAAAATTACCATAAAAAAATAAAAAAAGACAACAAGAAATTTTATGTTTTAATTTAGAAGGCATAAAGTGAAAACCGTGTGATGTGCACATGCACTGTGCAGAAACAATATTTCATAGCTGTAGTTCAATATCCATCTCAGAATGGACCTGGGTTTGTGCCTCTCCTAAATGGGAGGGAGGAAAGGCATGAATTAGCAAGATAAGGGAGGGGTTTGAGAGCCCAGAGAATACTTTACCTTAAAAAAAATTAAAAAAATATAATTAAGAGACACAGGGAGACCCAGAGACAGAGACAGAGAGATGGAGAGAAGGATACAGAAGTTGCCCTACCAATCTAGAAATGAATTTGGAAAGAGAAGTCTCAGCAGAAAATCTTCAGTTTTAGTACCTGAAAACAATATTTCACAGCTGAAGTTCAGTAGCCATCTCAGAATCTCTAATGTGTATTTCCTCTTTGAGATCATGCAAGCACTCCCTCACCTCCTGGAATTCATTGTCTCTTTTCTCCTGCATCTTCTAGAGTTTGTTGTCTCTCTTTCTTGAATCTCTGTTAGCTTTGTCACCATGAATATTTTAAATTCTTTATCTGACATTTCCACAAGTTCCCTGGTATTGTCTGTGGAAGATGAGGAGTTATTCTTTTCCCTTGGGGAGAGAGAATTTTTCTTGGTTTCTCAAATTTCTTGTGCCTCTGCAGTGGTTTCTGGTCATCTGTTTTTTCCTAATTTTTGGAGTGAATTCTGAGCGTTCACAGACTTGCAGGAGAAGGTGACCTGCAATCTCTAACCAGTACCAGTACAATTTCTCCCTTTGTGCAGCAATTCAATGGAAATCGAGGATTAATCTGACCCTTGCAGTATTCAGATAATTGGGTACCGTACACCTAGACTTGTCTTGAAACTCAGTGTGTGGATGCTGAGCAGAAAAGTGAGAAATGTAAAAAGAAAACAGGGTTGGGGGGAGAGTGAGCGTGCGTGCGCGTGCACATGCACAAGACAAAAGCAATTAAAAAGAAAAAAAATTTAAAGCAAAAAAAGCACACCACATGAAAGGGATTGCTCAGAACTCAGATATAGATGGATGGTGACTGACTTGTCCTGTGGGGGGGTGGGGTGGTAAGAATTAGCAAGATAAAAGAGCAGCAGAGAGCTAAGAACTTTACAAATAAGAGAGTGATGGAGAGAGACAAAATAAATAGGGTGCTGGTCGGCAGGATGGTGAAGTCTGGCAGAAGGTCTTCAAAAGTCCTAATCCTTGAAAGGGGCCATTCAGAACTTGGATATAGATGGCTGGTGATTGGCTTGTCCGATGAAGGATGGGGTAAAGGTAAGAATTAGCAAGATAAAAGAGCAACAGAGAACTAATAAGTTTAAAAATTAAGAAAAAAATATAGAGAGATGGGGAGGGACAGAGAGAAATCACCCCCCAGAGGGGATGGCCATGCCACAATCCTTTCTTCTCCATTCTCCTCTTGGGATCTTGGACACACACGTACACAGACCAGCGTGAGTTTAAGCCACTGGGTCCGGGACTCGAACCGTGATCGACTACATGGGAGTCCAGCGACATAGCCATTACGCTAACTGCTGGTCCCCATTTATTCAGTATTTCTCAAAGTCTATATTAGAATTATGTAGGTATTCAACTTATTTAAATTGCCAGAGGGCATGTGTGCACTAGCTGGAATAGAAAAATGTAAGGGTGGGAGAGAGAGAAAGCATCTCGTCACTGTAAGTGACATTGCAGTCCCCTTCGTTCATTTATTTTTCTTGAATTTTGGGTATACATGCACATGCTCTAAGCATATTTTTCAAGCTTCTGGGGCCGGGACTTGAACCTTAGTCAGTCATGTAAGCTCTGGTTCCTAATGCACAGCCCTAAACCTCTGTGCTATGGGGGCAAGCCTAGGTATTTTATCTTAACAGAGCATTGCTTTATTCTTGATTAAATCTGGATAGTTTGTCACCCTTTCCTAGAATGTAGATAAAACAGTTCTCCAAACAATTTAGTTCTCTTTTTATGCTGCACACCAAAAGTGAACCAGTAATTAATTTTCTCCTACACTTTGAAACACTGAGGTGTTACCCTGAATGAATACTCTATGTTGATCTTTTTTTTTCAATGGACATTTTTATCTTCAGTATAAATTGATCAGTTGGCATGTGTTTTTTAGGTATTTTGGAGTTTGAGTAATTTTGTCCCTCTAGAGCCTAATCAACTTTTTTTTTTTGGAGAGGTTTTTGCTATAGGGCGCGTGCACTCGCCAGACAGATGGAGAGAGACAGAGAGACAGAAAGCAGGAAATCACCCCCCAGGGGGGATGGCCACGCCGCAATCCCTTCTCCTCCATTCTCCTCTTGGGATCTTGGGCACGCATGCACACACACCCGGCCTGAGTTTAAGCCACAGGGTCCGGGACTCGAACCGTGGTCGACTACGTGGGAGTCCAGCGACATAGCCATTACGCTAACTGTTGGTCCATAGAGCCTAATCAACTTTTGATGTGCTATCAAATCAAGTGGCTGTACTGATAGAGCTGTGAGTCAGAGTTTGTACCCAAATGATCCAATATATTTAATTCATGTTTAAGAATTAATATGCTGTTAGAATGGTGGCTAAACATATAATAATACAGGTGAACTTTGTTAGTCCTCTTTGATTGCTGCTGTTTTATTTTATTTTTTTTGATAAACTATTTTTAAATTGTAGCAAATGCTAGTCTGAGTGCGAAGACAATGTGTCTTGATAAAGACGGACTAGCAATTCATAAAATTTTTAAAGGAGTATTGACAAATTTAATTGTAGATCAGAATTTGAAGGTCATTTGATATTATTTTAAATTCTGAAGACTTTTGAAGTTTAGAACAATTATTTCTTTTTCTCCACAGATACATTTTAAATTAGAAGTGTGTTTATATTGAAGTTACATATGTCTTTTTAGATAAGGTTTAAAAAAGTATCTCTCTATATCCAGTGCTGTAAATAGTAACTTTTAGACCATTATATTTAAGTGTAATTTTTTTCTCACACCAAGTTTCTAATTTGTTGATCTTTTTCCTTTTTGCTGTTTTTAAATATAGGCGTATGAACATTGCTGTTCGTTTTGGAAATGACCTTTCAGATGCTATACAAGTATTAGATGAAGGGTGCTTTACTACTCCAACTTCTTTGACTCACTTAGAGATAATTTGGGCAGAATACAATCTAGCTCAGGAGAACATTAGAACTTGTGAAAATGTGGTGAGTTGAGAGCTTTTCTTTGGTTGTTATATATTGAGCGTAAGGAAATAATTATTTTTTGAGAATCAGAGGGACTGTAAATATTACAGTGTTACTTCACTTTTATAAAATCTTTTACTTTTATAGTATCTACATATTAATGATTTGATTCCTTTATTGCCTTGTAAGAAATGTAGGATAGGTAGTTAGTGATTGTGGATAAAGCTTTAATAGAATCTTTTCCCTTTTTGTATGAGAATTTGACCTTTGATTAACTCCTTTTTTCTACTTCCTTGGTAATTTGGTAAAATAATACTTCAGCTATGTTACTAGGTAGTATCATTTAAAGTAAATGTAGCTCCTGTTGGAAAATTGCATCTGGACTGAGAGGAACTATAAATAACAAGAACTTAATAAAGACTCTTGAAAGTGGGCAAGGGTTCCTGGAGTGACTTCATAAGCTATACCTATGAAGTTGCTATAAATGATACTGACTTTTGATGGGCATGAAGCTTGTAAACCAATGTAGCTTCTATTCCTGCTTATATTGATCTTATCATCTGGTTTGAGTGGTATGTTTTATACTGCAGTATTGGACTCTATTAAATACTGTATAAGCTACCTATTGATCAGAGGTAGTTGTTTACATGTGTGGGAAGGGGTATGATAAATGAAATATTTCATATGAATTCTTCATTATCTTAGATACATTTATTTCCTTGTTTTTTTTTTTTTTTTTTTTTAGTTTATTTAATTAGACCGAATTGAGCTCCTTGTTTTCCATGGAAAGGTATTCCCTATGACTGTTTCTATAGCACCTGTGAGCTCTGTACTCATTGTGTTTGGACTAGTCCCATATTAAGTATTGATGGTTTCTGCCTCTCTGGATTATACTCTGAAAGACTCACTCCCTAATCATACCTGCTTTGGCCAGTTTGCAGTCTAACTGGCTCTGAATTGGAAGCATGAACAGAATAACTAGGATTCTGGAAATGGCAGGAAAGTTTACTTGGGAGAGGGGTTTAGACTGGGGTTATTTTACATATTGGATTTTAAACGGTCACTTCTGTTTGTGAAAGAAAAAAGTGGCAATTGAATTAATTTTTGAATTTCTATGAAACATAGATAATATTGTTTTATAAACTTTTCTTCTTTGTTTTTGGAGAGGTTTTTGCTATAGGACAGACAGACAGAGAGAGACAGAGAGACAGAAAGCGAGAAATCACCCCCCAGAGGGGATGGTCACGCCGCAATCCCTTCTCCATTCTCCTCTCGGGATCTTGGGCACGCACACATACGTGCCCGGCGTGAGTTTTAAGCTACCGGGTCCGGGACGTGAACTGCGGTCGACCACGTGGGAGTCCAGCGACATAGCCATTACGCTAACTGCTGATTCCCTCTTTACATTAACTTTTAAAGTGGGTATTTTTACTCCCATTTAATAAGTGAGGAAACAGGCTCACAGTGTTAAGGAAATTGTTCAAGATTACGTAGTGTTGTAAGGGTTAATATGAAATTTGAACCTCAGGCAGGTCTGACTTCAAAGTATATGCTCTGTCCATTTAAATCACACTGTCAGTATTAAAATTCTTTTTAATGTAATGTCATGTAGCAAGATGAAAAACTAATTGATTTTTAAAAATTTGTTTTTGTGGCTTAAATATAGGAGAGTGATTCAGGATAGAGAGGAAGAGGACTTAAGAACTGATATCCTAGCAATACAAATTAAAAAAAAATTTTTTTTTAAGCTAATAGTCTTTTCTACCACTGCTGGTGTTTCAGGACTTAAAGTTTATTTAGTAGACTGAAGAGTAGATTATTGGGTAAATACACATTCATAAATGCCACTCAAATGAAGTTGCCATTTCACTTTTCTTATCATACTTAATTTGGGTCTTGGAATTGTCATTTTCATTTATGCATTTTACATAGTTCCTTAACTTGATTGTCATGTGTATTTTTGATGAAAGAAGTGAGATTCTTTTTTGTTTTCTTTTCCTTTCTTTTTAAAAAGAATTTTGCTGTAGGGTGTGTGAATGAGAGAGAGAGAGAGAGAGAGAGAGAGAGAGAGAGAGAGAGAGAAATTTATCCTTGCCCTCCTGGGGGGACAGATATGCCACAGTCTTTCTCCTCCATTCTACTCTTGGGAGTTTGGGTGCACATTTACGTATCTTAGTGTGTTTTTTAAGCTGCCAAGTTTGGGATTCAAACCATGCTGTCAGCCATGTGAGATCTGGCTGCCTTAACCACCATGCCACTGGCTGTTGCAGAGTTTCTTTTCTTTTTATTTAGAGTTATAAAACAATCTGACTGAGCTTATGCAAGAAAGAATATCCTAAAATTCAAGCTTTAAGTGTGTGTGCAAGACATTTATAGGTGATAGAGGTACTTTTTTTTTTTTTTTTTTTGAGAGGTTTTTTTTTTTTTTAGGGCATTTGGTTTTTTTTTTCTATAGGGCATGTACGTTTGCCAGAAAGACAGAGACAGAGAGATAGAAAGTGAGAAATCACCCCCCGGGGGGATGACCACGGTGCAGTCCCTTCTCCTCCATTCTCCTCTCGGGATCTTGGGCACGCATACACATGCAACCGGCGTGAGTTTAAGCCACCAGGTCTGGGACTCGACCTGTGGTCAACCACATGGGAGTTCTGCGACATAGCCATTACACTAACTGCTGGTTCCAGAGGTACATGTTTTTTAATGACATCCTACCTTTCTGTTTTTCTTGGGTATGAGATGGACACATAATAGAGATAATGTTTAGGGTTCTTGGGTATCTTTTATATATATGTATTTCCAAATACATCTTTTATTCTGACAGAATTTGCCTGAGTCTCGAAGGATGAGTTAATGAAGGAGTTGGGAAGGAAGTGCATAATTAATAATAGGAACTTGAATAATTTTCTGAAAGAAAAACAAAAATTTCATTGCTGCAGAAATAATGGGAAAATATAAAGATTAGCAGAGTAGGATTGTTGTCTTTTTGATGATCTAAGGAGAGAGAATGTAATGTTAACTTTTAGAGATAATTTTTTTCATATAGGTTAGTGTATAAAAACACTTCTGATATTAATGATTGTTATTTTTTTCTTCCTCCAGAATGAAGGCAATATTTTGATTGCCCAGAGAAATGAAGTGCACCAGAAACTGTGTATGGCAGTAGAAGTTTTTATTCTGGAAATAGATGAGTTACCTCTTACTAAACGCTTAGAGAAATTGCAGGTTGGAATTATATATATTAAAAGTACCTTAAATTATAAGTTTATCATTTGAGAAGTAAAATTGCAATTATCTTGAGATTTCAGGTATTACTTAAGGCTGCAAAAGTTTTTCTTCTTTGATGAGTTCTAATTTCTATCTTTCTTTTATTTATTTATTTACTTACTTATTTTTCTTTTAGATTTTTGCCATAGGGTGCATACACTCACTGGGGAGAGAGTAAGAAATCACTCCTCATAGGGTATGACCACATTTCAGTCCCTTCTTCTCCATTCTTCTCTTGAGATTTTGGGCATGTGTGTACACAAATAAGCCCAGCATGCTTTTCTGGCTGCCCAATATGAGACTTGAAGTGCAGAGTAGCCATGTGGGATCCAGTGCCTTCACCATCATGCCACCTGCTGTTCTCATTTTTTAAAAGGGGGTTAAATTTTTATGTTAGCGAATTTAATGTTTAGGTATATGTATGTATCTATTCTGAAAACAAGGTAAAATGGCCACTCTAGGCTTGTAGAACAGTATTCACTGGGGAAACCCATGGAAACAGAGTTAGTAGCTGCCATGTGGGTCATTGCATTCTAGCAGAAAATCTAGTAGGGCCACATGTCAGTGTACAGAAGAAGGGACCATGAGTTACAGGGCTTTTAGGCTTTGTGGTCAGGGTCCTCCCCTGGTGTGATCTGGAGCTAGAGTTCAATAGCTATGTGACGTGTTAGAGCCTTGTCTTAGCCATGCCCTGCCAGCCCAGCAATGCCTTTAATTTGGAGTGAATGAGCAAATAATGTTCAGTCTGAGACCAGCAGTTGGTGTAATGGCTGTCGCTGGACTACCGTGTAGTCGGCATGGTTTGAGTCTGAGACCCGGTGGTTTAAACTCAAGCTGGACGTGTGTGCATGCATGCATGCCCAAGATCCCAAGAGGAGAATGGAGGAGAAGAGACTGCAGCATGGCTATCCCCCTGGGCTGTCGCTCTGTCTTCCTTTGTCTTTCTGGTGAGCACATGTGCCCTATAGCAAAAACCTCTCCCCCCACCCCCCAAAAAAGTTAAGTCCTCCCATTTAATAACATAGTATCTCTCTCCACTTACATCTTTTTTCATCTTTTAGTATTGTTGAAAAAATTTCTCAAGGAGACAGAGAGAGAGGGAGAGGAGAAAGCACCCTGCCCCTCATGGGGAATGATTACATTGCAACGCGTTTCTCTGCCTTTGGAACTGTGGGCATGCATGCACTCAGAAAACCTGGTGTGTTTCTCAAGGCACGGGGTCCTGGACTCGGACCACACCGTCAGCTGTGTAGGACCTGGCTTCCTTAACCACTAGACCACAGAGCCAGTACTCCTTTGGGTTGGCAGGTGGCATGAAAGTTAAGGCAGCTGGATTCCATGGGGCTGATTCAAGTCCATGGTTCAAGTCCTGAACCTGGCAGCTTAAAAATCATGTGAAGCGTGTATATGTGTGTGTGTTTGTGTCTGTGCCCAAAATCCTGAGAGGAGAATAGAGGAGAAAGGCTTACAGTGTGGCTATGTCCCCTGGAGGGTGATGTCTTACTTTCCATCTCTCTCTCTCTCTCTTTCTCTCTTTCTCTAGCAAGCACACATGCCCTACAGCAAAAACATTAGAAAAAAAATTACACAGGGTATGTGTGCATGAATACCCAAAATCCTGAGAGAAAAATGGAGGAAATGAGATTGCTGCATGGTCCTTCCTACTGGGAAGTGATTTCTTACTTTCCTTCTCTTTCTTTTTGTCTCTCTCTCTCTAGCAGGCACATGTACCCTATAGCAAACTGAAACAACAACAAAAGCAATACTCCTTTTATCTCTCCTAATCCTTCTACCCTTTATGAATTTCTTGAATTTTTACTGTTTTGATCAGTGCTTTGCTTGTACTAAGTTGAATAATAGCTGATATCCATCTTGTTTTGGACTATAGGGAATCAGCATGCTAGAAATTTGGAGAATAGTCAAAGACATTTGGGCACTGTCTCTTTCTGTTCTCATAAATGAGAAGTACCTTTGATGATACTATGTGTGGTTCAGGAATCCTTAGAGTCCTGTTTTCAAACATTTTCTTAAACAGAATTGCATGAATAGTAAACCTTGAATATAAAAAGACACTAATGTAATAAGATTTTACTTTTCTACAGTGCAAATTCCACTTTACCCTTTAAAGGTTCATTTCTTTGCATTAACTGTTTGTAAACATAGGCTGAGGGGACCAGCAGTTGGTGTAATGGCTATGTCACCAGACTCCCATGTAGTCAACCGCAGTTTGAGTCCCAGACATGGTGGCTTAAACTCATGCTGGGCGCATGTGCGTGTGTACCCAAGATCCTGAGAGGAGAATGGAGGAGAAGGGATTGCGGCATGGCCATTCCCCCCTGGGGGGGTGATTTCTTGCTTTTTGTTTCTCTGTTTCTCTCTGTCTTTCTGGCAAGCGCACTCGCCTTATAGCAAAAACCACTTAAAAAAAAAAAAAAAGGCTGAAAATCTGTGACCGAGATCATATTTAAAATTCGTTTCTTTTTAAAGTTTAATATTGAAAGATTTTTTGCCTTATCTGATTTATCTACATTTCTGATATTTTCCTAAAGCTTCAGAATATTCTTAAACTTTTATTCTGCTGAGAAATCCTGTTATTCATGGTTTTCAAGTAATTGGTAAATTTAACATATTTTTATAGTGAAGATCAGTTAAAGAAAATAAAGTTCATGACTTTTGAGTTCCTCAGTGTTTATTGAGACTTCTTTTGTGGCCCCATGGTTGATTTTTCATGACTCTTCCTCCTAAGTTCAAAGAAAAGTGTAGTCTAGGTTTTCTTGGTATGCAATTCTATAAAAGATATGTGTGTATACCTATTTTCTTATGTCTTAATCTTTTTTTTTATCCTTGCTTAGTTTTAGGTCTAATCAGAGCGTCAGTGTTTTTTGTTTTGTTTTCCTTTTTATTTTAACACACCTATTTTACTTTCTTTTTTCACATTTTATTGATTCACAGAAGATCTTAAAGTATGGACAAGGCTAGAATCTAGTGACAAGTGCACTGTAATTTTCTTCTGAAACAATTTTTTTCTTTCTTCATTCCCTTTTTTACTAAAGAGAGATATAAACTAACTTATCTGCAAAAAAAAAAAAAGGTTAATCTCACTTTGGTATGTTATTTGCACAAAGCCCCATAAGAATTCAATTTCTGATGCAAGGCAACAGATACTATAGTATTATTGAACTTATGTGAATAACCATTCTGCCACAAAATAAGAATGCTCACATATATTTTCCAATTGCAAAGGGGTCAGGAAGGGAGAAAAGTTTGTTTCAACTAAATAAACTCTATTTTTAACCAAATTGCTGAACCCAACAACTCAAAAGAAAACAAAAATTCTTAAATCTGGAAGACAAACCATAGAAGAAAATCAGTAATGCTTTAGAAAAAGTCATTGAATTCTATTTCACCAGTTCAACCTTTTGTAATCTCTTTTTTGTTGAATTTGCAGTGTTACTGTGGTCTGACCTTCCCATTAACATTCAACATTATTATTGATATTTCAGAACATGTCCCTACCATTAAATTGGCCTTTTTCTTGGTGATTTTTTGTTCTCTTATTGTCTGTCTTTAGTTTTCCTGGTATAGTACTCTCTACAGAACTTCTCAAAGAGGTGGTTTGGTTTTGGTAACTTCTTTCAGGTTTTGTTTATCTGAGAATGTTTTTATCTTTTCTTCCCACATAAAGTATAATCTTGCCAGATTTTTGGTTGAAATTATATTTCTCACTTAACACTGAATACATTTTCCCATTCTTTCCTTACTTGCGTTGTTTCCAATGAGAGGTTTGATGTTAGCCTGATGGGATATCCTTTGAAAGTAACTTGATGTTTTTCTCTTGTCAACTTTAGTATCTTATCTCTGTCTGTGGTTTTGGTCAATCTGGCTATGATATACCTTGGAGAAGATCTTCTTGGGTTGATTCTATGTGGGGTCCTTTGTATGTCTTGGGTCTGGATATTTGAATGTCTATCTAGGTTTGGAAAGTTTTTTTCTGGGATTTTATGGAATAGATTACAATGCCCTGATTAGTTTCTTCACCTTTGGGATACTGATTAACCAGATGTTTGGGCATCTAATGGTATCTAGTATTACTTTGTATATCATTCTCATTTTTTGGGATTATTTTCTCAGTGTTTTTGGTGAATTTTTCTAGGTCGGAGGTTCTATCTTCTACATCTGAGATTCAGTCTTCTGCATGATATAATCTGCTTTTAATACTTTCAAGGGAGGTTTTGATTTCCTGTATTGTAGCCTTCATCTTTAATAGTTCCAGTTGATTCTTTTATATGGTGTTTATTTTCCTCTTTTCAGATCATGCAAGAACTTTCTCACCTCCTGGAACTTGTTGTCTCTTTTCTCCTGCATATTCTGGAGTTCGTTGTCTCTTTTCTTTTGCATCTCTTTAGGTTTGTCACTATGAATATCCTAAATTCTTTTTCTGACATTTCCATGAGTTCCATTGTACTGTCTGTGGATGATGAAGGGCTGTTCTTTCCCTGTGGGAGAGAGAGATTTTCTTGATTTCCCATAGTTATTGTTCCTTTGTGGTGGTGGTTTCTGGTCATCTGTTGGATTATACTGCACTTTCTATCTTCTTGGAGTTAATTCTGAGTACTGGTGGCATGTGGAAAAAGATGGTCTCCAATTTTTCTGCAGTTCCATTTCCCTGATCTTCACCAAATAACTTGCACTTTTGTTGATGGAACTGGATATTATTACAAAGGCCTCACAATTTCAAGGGAATAGGAGTACCTGGGATGAGCTGAGGGGTTTAAAGTGTTCAGAGGTTTTGCATCTGTGCACCTAGACCTGCCTAGATACTCAATGTATGGAAGGTGAGAAGTAAGGTGAGAAAGTCAGGCAAAAGAAAGAAAACAAAGGGAAAAAAACAAAAACCAACCAAACAAAAAAACCAAACAAAACAATGAAAAGGGAAAAAAAATTAAAAAAAAAAAGTA